GCTCATCTTCCCTCAGTTTAGTGGGCAGCTTTAGATGCCCTGGGTTTGTGAGAGGCATCAGTCCTGCTGTCCTTAGAGGAACATCCTGGGGATGCTGCTTAGGTCCATCTCAGGCAAGCTTGCAGGGTGTCCTTTGTGCAGCCCCCTTAGAGCAGCAGAAAATCCTGTCCTTTTGTCCCAGAGCAGGCAGGTCCAAGCCCTGCAGGTGCCTTCTTTGCCCCCTCCCAGAGGGGCTGCACGCTCCCCACAGGGACATCCATGGCTCAGAGCACCCACACAGCCTGCCCCAGCAGCAATGCCAAGGAAAAACACTTTTGATCTCTTTTCTCATATCACCCCTGAGCTAAAACTCTGTGGTCACCATCTCCCAGCACGGGTGGGAAGCGTGGCAGGCAGTCCCAGCACCCTGTGTGTGTCACCTCATTTTTTGGTAAGGAAGATCAGCTAATCAGTGAATAATCAAAGGTTGTTCATGAAAGAAGGTGACATCAAAGCAAATAATTTAAGGAACCCCTCGAGGGCCAGAGGAGTTGTAAGGTCTGAGGCTGAATCACATGAGCTCAGTTTCCATGAACTGTGTCTCAGTTTTCCTGCAGGTACAAGTTAGAAATGCTTACGATAAATGTTTAGAATTAGTTGGGGAAGGGGGGAAAGTTAAATCACACTAATTATAGCCATGATGGCTTTGGTGCAGTGCCATTTGAAAGCATAGGTGTATTCTAAACCTAATGCAAAAGGAATTAAAAGGCATTGCTTCTTGGGTAAGCAGGGTGATGTGGGAGCAGAGTTTCAGTTTGGGGAGTAGTAGAGTTGTTCACTCTACTGGCAGCAGTCCAGACCACAGCCATGAAGGATGATTTGACAGCGAAAGAATTCCTGCTTTTATTTGATATTTTGTAGAGAGGACAGAGCAGACCAGTCACTGGGGAAGGAGGAACAGGGGAGCTCTGGGACAGGAGAGGGGTGGCTTGTGCCAGGGCACCACTGCTGAGTGGTATCATGAACTCAAAGGCAAGAATCGGGACAGTTCCGCTGCAGGTCCTACACTGCAAGCCTGGGTGAAGCTGCAACACCCCATTTCTTCTCCTACCTTTCTGATTTCTTTTAGAATTTAAGGGACTTTGGGATTTGAATCATTTGTACATTTCTGTTCTGCCTTCTCTGGTACAAACCTCACCTTTGGAATGGTTTCTCCAGTGCAAATGACAAGGGCCATGCACAGACATGAGTGACCCAGCATTTGTTTGGCTTCCCTGGATGCTCAGTCACTCAGAAGAGAGCCCTAGCTTGGAAAGCCAAGGTCACTGACACAGCTGAGAAAGGTCAGAGGAGCCCCTGACCCATTTATCCATGGATCCCTATTTATTCTGCTGGATGCTGCACAAAAAAAAATCCAGCAAGGTTCAAACACCATGGGTTCCTTATAAATTAACTGAATGTGGCTGACTGAAGTAACCACCCCCAAACACTTGAAGAGATAAACAGCTTCTCTGACTGCTCTGACAGGAAGCATTTCCACCCTTGCATGTGTTGGGGATGTACATAACATAAGAAACCTTACTAAGAGGAAAATCACAAGCTTGGGAAAACACAGCAACAAGTCAACAACATCTTTAAATGAGTAATAAGTCAAATATTTACTCCCACAACACTTCAGGCAAGAATCCTGTGCCTCAGCTTTCACACAAGCATGGACAGCCTGTGGAGAAACATCTCGTACTTTTGTGGCTAGAAAAATCACCAGGTCCAGGGCTGTGCTTGGGAAGTTTATTTCCAGCCCTTGGAGGAATTTGTTCCTCCTTCATACCATTTGTCCTTGCACATTCCATGCTGTCCTCACACCACAGCCAGGCCAGGAATTCCACCACAGCAAGTCGGGTGTGAAGTCCCCCGCTCTGGAGGAGCAGCTGGGGGGGTCCCTGCAGGACGTCACACTGCAGAGTTAATGGCACAACTGAGTCCCTGGAACCTTTGCCTTGCTGTTCATTAGCTGGCAAACCACTGCCAGGATTTGCCCTTTTGGGGTGCCCTTTCCAGGGTTGTCAGTGTAGATGTATTACACTTGAGTCCTGCAGGGCTGCAAACCACCAGAGTGTTCAATCAGCCAAAACATCAGTGACTTTTAAATAAAATTACTCAAAATATTTTCTATGTAACAACCTTGAAAAAAGGCTGGGCTCTTCTTCACTGCCCAAAGAAATGGTGGGAGAGACCCTCTTGTGTCCAGAACTGCCTATGACCAGAGCCCCAGGGCTGCAGGAGGGAAGGGGGGCTTTGAAAGGAAAGCCACATTCTGTGGAGCTGTGAGGCTGCCACAGTGATGGGGTCATGGCATCTCTCCTCTGCCTGTTGGAAGATTTCTTCAGAAACCAGTGTATTCTGTTCATTTTGGGTATGGATAAGAGCAGGAGGAAGGAAGTGTCCAAGGCCAGGTTGGATGGGGCTTGGAGGAACCAGAGAGAGTGGAAATTGTCCCAGCCATGGCAGGGGGTGGAATGAGGTCAGCTTGGAGGTCCTTTCCTGCCCAAACCATCTGGGATTCTAGAAGATAATAAGAGATATTCTCCCATATCCTCAGCCACCTAGAGCCCTGCTGCTGCCAGGACTGAGGAGTCCCATCCTGATGGGTCCAGACTCATGAGTTTGCACATCCCTGCAGCCACCACCTACCCAGGTGTCCAACTGTCCCCACCACACCTGGGGAGCACCTGGGCACACAGAAGGCAGTTCTTGAGGCTTGGAAAGTGGCAGGCAAGGGGCATTCTCTACACTGCCAGCAGAAGGCAACTGAAGGAATATACCTCACAGTTTCAAGGAGATCTTGGATGTTTCAGATCTGTGTTTTCTCTCACAGTCTTTCATTTTACATTATTTTTCGTTATTTTCACATTGTTCCACAACATGTCAAAACATCAGACAGATTCATTAGAACACAAACAGGAGACACTTTGATGTAGGAAAAAAAGATGTTTTAATGGGTGCTAAGTAGCAACTGCCCTTGGGGGTTTAAAAATAAAAATAGAAGCAGCACAAAATAATATTTTAACCCTTGTATCCCAGGATCACCAAAATATAGAATGCAGCATTGAACACAAAACAGTGCAGACAATAATTTTCTTTTTTTCACTCATTATGAAAACAGAATTTTGAATTCACATGGATTTTTGGCGAGTTTTCTACTACCTCTTTGGAAAAGAGAAAGTTATAAAGAAAAAAGTAAACTTCTCCAAGAGTATTTTCAAAAGGGCTCACAAAAGTGCATGGTTTTCTCACAGGACACCTCTCCAGAGAATATGCAGAGACAACTTCCATCCTTCCTGATGTGTCACCTGCAGTGACACCAATGCCAAACACAGCTGGTTAGAACATGGTGGTTTGGGATTTTTTTTGTGGAAAGTGGTCAAAATGTAGAAGCCTATGCCCCCCGGGTGTTCTGCTCTTTACCAGCAAAACTCCAGCATTTTTTACTGAGGAATACAAAGGCATCTCAGTAAATTTTTCAGTGAACCCCTTTTTCAGTGAAGCAATTTCCTACCCAGAGCCCAAAGCCAGCTGAGATGCTCCAGGTCCTTTGCTGTGTGACCTGTGAGATCTCAGGTGCTCTGAGCAGGTGGAACAGCTCAGAGAGGTCCCTCTTGCATTGCTGGGCTCTCCTGAGGGGCTTTTCTCCTTCATGCTTCTGTCCTTGTCCCTGGCACGAGCCTCCTCCCAATGCCAAGACATTCCCAGTGCCACTGGGAGGGCAGGGAACGTCCTTCCTCAGGCTCACAAATCTGTGAGGTTCACAGAAGGAAAGAGTAAACTAATTGCCTTTATTTTGTTGTTGTTTCTCCTCGTTTTCCCATCACACCCATCAGGCTGTGTGTTCAGTCCCAGGAGGAGCTGAGCTGTGTCCTGTCTGTGCACAGTGACAAAGAGCAGCCCCTCTGCCTCCCATGAGGCTCTCCAGCACCCAGATGACACTGCCCACGTTGCTTTGCTCACTAGGAGATATGCCCCATCTATTCCCACTGGGTTTAACCACACCAGCTTCCAATTCAGCCTCATCTTAGCTCAGCTTTAAAGGTCAGTGCTTCCTTGCTCACCTGGACACAGCCATCTACTTTGGGGTAAGCAGCGTGGGTTTCTTCACGTGCAGCTGCTCATCAGGGCAGGGTTGCAGCTGTCAGACCCCAAGAACAGCCTGGAAATATCCTTGTTTTCCCCAAATACCAGCTTGTGTATTGAATCAGTCAGGACAGACTCAGCTGCTGTCACACCCTGAGGTGAGGAGAGCTCTGCTCAGGCAGCTCACAGTGACTGTAGTGTGCAGAGGGCTTCAGCACCAACCTGGACCCTCTGGCTACCAGCACAGCCTCCTCCAGAGGCTGGAACCCAGGCAGAGATGAGCCTTTAGCTGGAGATGGCAGAGTGAGACAAGCACAATCAGCCAGGTTCCCTCCACCTCCTGACCTCAGTTTGTCACCCACAGAGCCAACCTCTGTCCCTCAGTCCTGTTGTGGTTCTCTAGTCTGTGGAGAGAAAGCCAGTCCAGTGGGATGGACCCCTTCTCTCTGGGCTGCTGTCTCCTCAAAAGCAGATGTCTGTCCACACACTGGAAAATCTCCCTGTGGGGGCTGGCACGGCCATGGTGACAGAGAGATGCTCTTGGGCCCAAGGACATGCTGTCCTATTCCAGTGTGACGGGGCTTCCTGTTCATTCTCCAAAACTTGTGAGACAGCAAGACTGCTTGTGCTGTTGGGAAATGTCCTAACTTGCTTCATAACTTGGAGGAGCTCCGGCAGACCACCCTGAAGGAGCCAGCTCTCTCTGGCTACTCCTCTCCATCCCTCTGCAGCAGAGCCCAGGCTGTGATCAGATGTTAATGCTGAAATGCTCTTTGCAGAGGCTTCTCACCCTCCCACTTAGCAGAGAGGGGACACAGAGCCTGGCACTGAGGTTCATTCTATGCAAACCACTGCGTGACTGATCAGAAACCTCTGTCTTTGCTTCCTGCCAGAGACCTGAGCATGAACAACATCAGCCAGCTGCAGCCCCACGCGCTCCGACACCTGCGCTTCCTGGAGGAGCTGTGAGTACGGGGTGCTGCACGGGCAGGGGGTGCTGGGGCTGGGGGCACACTGCAGAGGGTCCTCCAGCACTGGCCACAGCTTCCAGTGCAGTTCCTGAAGCTGCAGGCTGAGGTGGAAGCTGACTGTGCTGGGAGAGCGTTTGTTTGCTGCTCCAGCTTAGGTTTCACTGAGGTCATCACCTTCAGGCTGAGGTGGTGCCAAAAGCCAAATAAAAGAGGACCTAATCTCTCATTCAAAAATCAACACTGTACCGTGGAGCAGAGCCAGCAAAGAGAGAGCTTCTCTCACCCTTCAGCAGCCAGGGTCCCCCTCACAGGCTCCTCAGCCCAGAGACACGTGAACCCCTGGGCACTTCGCAGGTCGGGTGGAACCCACCCTGCAAAACTGCAGCCCAAAAAGCTTTCCCCAGAGGCTGAGGTGTCCCACCAGTGTGCACTGAGGTCTGAGCAGACACACTCAGACACAGCAGCAGCTTCAGTCCTGGGCATCAGCATGTGGCTGTGTGTCAGTGAAGGAGTGGCCCCACTTCTGAAAGTGTGAAAATTAACCAGCAGCACAAGAAACCACTGGAATCCTTTGTGAGCCCCAAAAAATGGGAGCCCAGGGGGCAGAATGTTGAGGTTGACCATTTCTGCATGAGTAAATTGCACCTGTATGGTCTTACTCCACTTGACCATGAGAAATACCTCCAGGTGTTATTCTCATGCTGTTGGTACTTTCAACACAACAGCTTCTGATGGAAAACACAATTCCTTCAAAACACTGTTATTGCATTCATGAAATCCTAATATTAATGCTTCATTTGATGTGTGTTGTAAACTTACTGTGTATATAACAGTTACTGCAACTTAATCTGCCTAAATGAAACACTTTCACTTCTCTGAATCAGATCTTGCTGCCACCACAAGGCACAGCACTGGCATTTCATAAATGGTATTTTCTAAAATGTCAGAATTACAGATATCACCCTAACACCTGTGAGGGTGGGCAGGCCCTGGCACAGGTTGCCCAGAGAAGCTGTGGCTGCCCCATGATCCCTGGAAGTGTCCAAGGCCAGGCTGGACAGAGCTTGGAGCAACCTGGGATGGTGGAAGGTGTCCCTGCCATGGCAGGGGTGGAATGAGATGATCTTTAAGGTCCCTCCAAATCCAAATCATTGCAGGATTCTGTGATTTTATATTACTGGTTTTTACTTCAAATGGTCTTGTAACTGATCACCCTCTGTCTATATTTCAAATTCATTAGAGTTGTAAGGGCCCCAGCCACCCAAGCCCCCTTCTCCAGCAGGCATTTACAGGCTGACAAGGAGGCATTTTTGATCCTGTTCTGGCTTTGGAGCCAGAGCTGCCCGCAGAAGTGGGCATCTTGCAGCCTTTCTCCTTTCATTTTATCAGCATCCATGTTGAAGTGTGGGCACCCAGCACCTTCACTGAGGGTGCTGAGGCTTTTCACACACGCAGAACAGACTCTGCTGTGTACAGTTAGCAGTTGTCTTGCTGCAAGCAACCGTGTCCTGATTACGTCATGTACAAACAGAGCAGCCTCAACCAGCAAGGAATAAATATTCATACGTTCCAAAAGAGCCAGCTTGCCACAGCCAAAAATAATTATGAATGAAACAGGCAAAGGGGAAAAATTTAAAGAGGAAAATCTGAAAAAATAATTGGAAGGTGTTAGATAACATTTTACTGGAGGTCCAATGTGTCACAAGTCCCCCTTTGGAAAGGACTGACATCACAGTTAGGGGAAGAAATGCAAACTGCAGCATCATATACCTATGCATAGCAAAGTGCCTGCTTGAATTTGATAGCATTAAGGTAGTAATCCTATTTATGGAAATCAAGCAAGGAAGGATTTTGTATATTATGGCAAATTAAAAGTGATTCTTTCAACAACAACAGCTAGACAGGGACAGTTTGTACAGCATTCATAGGGCTGTCATTGACCAATAATGCAACTTGCCTGGCATTTCCCCTGCTCTTTTCATTTATATCTTCACCAAATTTTCATCCCACAACATTACATCAGGACCATGACATTCAGGCTGGGATCGCCCTCTGTGCCAGGACACGCATAAGAATCAAGCAAACAAATCCTGCTTGTTTAGACATCCTCAAGGGAAGTTTGTTCAGGTTTCACAGCTCAGATCTCTGCTGATTTCATCTGCCTGGGACACATTCCCAGTGGCTGCCAGGGTGACACGTAGCACGTGAGACCAAGCCCTTTGTCTTCATCCGCATGGCAGAACTGCCTGTGCTGGGACATGCCAAGTGAGTGAAGAGCAGGAAGCCCTGCTGAGCAGTGAGGGACAGTGCAGGTACCCCAAACCCACTATCCCAGTGGCAGTGTCTCCTGGGCAGGAGGAAGACCTGCCTGCCTGCCCTCCTGCCTGTCCCCCCTCCAGCAGGGAAGTGCTGACAATGGAGAGGACTCTGCTGCAGTTCATCCTGGCTACAATGCCTGTCTTCAGTTAGATGGAAAGCCTTCAGCAGGTTTCTCGCCCCCAGGGGTTTTGGGTGGCATTATGGCCCCAGTCTGCCTTCTACACAGAGTCACAAAGTCACAGAATGGTCTGAGTTGGAAGGGACCCACAAAGATCATCAAGTCCAACTCCCAGCCCTATACAGCACCATCCCCAAGAGTCACACCTTGGTCCCAATGATTATTGAACTCTGTCAGTCCTGGGGCTATGACCAGTTCCCTCCCCTGACACAATATCAGGCCAATCCCTTGGGTCCTGCCACTGCTCACAGAGAGATCAGTGCCTGCCACTCATCCTCCTCTCCAGGGGCTGAACAGAACAAGTGCCCCCAGCTGCCCTCACATGGTTTCTCCTCAATGTCCTTCACCACCTTCACTGCCCTCCTTTGGGTGCTCTCTAATAGTTCAATATCTGCAGCCTTATGTTCCCTATCACCTGCTGGATAAACCAGGTGAGTGACAGGCTGGAGCAACCAAAGACAAAATTTACAAAATTCAGTTCAAGGTGAACAAAAACAGATGCTCTGGGGCTCTGGTCAACCCCAAAAATTTATTTTAACGTGAGAGAGAAAAAATAGTTTCATCTTCAGATTACTTCTTAACATATAGTGTTTTACTTTTGGTAAAGCCCTAAAAGAAAATGGTAATTCAATTTATATTTGCTTTATTGTCAAAGATACCTTAGGTGCTTGAATCTTACCAAAAAAATCAGAGGTTCCTCAGCAAAACTTTGCCAATTTCAACCCAGACTTTCAAATCTCCTTTTCAAGATTCTATTAAATGATCTGATGTTCAGAAATATCCCAAGAACTCTTGACACCCCTTATCCTTCATCTATAACCCCTTATCCTTCATCTATAACCCTTCTTCAACAGTCAGAGAAAGCCCAGGTTCCTTTGGCTCCTCATGCTCTTGCCCATGATTCTCTGATTCTGTCTTCTCTCTCATTAGATTTAGCCCCAGGAGCCCAGGATCCCATGGAGGACAGCTGGTGTTTCACACCTTTCACCACTTCTCCTCCTTCTGTTCCTCTATTTTAGCACCACCCCAGGCTCCTCATGAAAGTGAAGTTTCACACAAGTCAGAGATCAGAGATCATGGCTGAGCTTGTGCATGGAGCTGGGATTCAGCAGAGGAAAAGGAATAATGGGAAAAGGGAAGACAGCTGTAAAAATGGGTGGATGAAGCACACGTCCCATGGACAACAAGGACAAACGTGCCAGGTTCCACTGCTGTGGAGCCCTGTACATCGGGGCTGCTGGGCCCACCTGAGCCCCGAGCACATTAGTCCTGGGCACACACCCACCCTGGGTGGAGGCCTGTGAGGAAGAAACCAGAGCAGGGTGGCACGTGAGGGTGCTGAGGACAGCAGAGCCATCACCCAAGCCACTCATGACGCCCAGGCAGGCTGTGTCCCACAGGGTATTTCTGCACTGGCTCCCTCTGCTCTGGACACCGAACATGTCCTGATGAGATCAGGGGGGATGCTGCAGTTAGGGCACAGATGAGGGTACAGGGACTGCTCCAGCTCACTCCCTGTGTGGTCTGGGTAGTTATTTTCACTGCCAGAGCTTCATTGTCCAGCAATGAAAGCAGGCCCTCAGGTGTGCCCTGTGGGCCATTTGTATTTACTGAGAGCTGCTCAGGAAGGGATTGTGATTGCAATTAGTTCTCATGCCCAGGGGATGCCCAGAGACCAGATTCTCCAGACTCAGCTGCCTTTAAAGAGGCAATGGGAGGGGGCCCTCAGTGGCAGTAGGCTGTGCTCCCCTCTGGCCCCCCAGCCTCCCCCTCCAGAGACAGGAGAGGCTGCGCCAGAGGCTGCACAGTCCCAGCCCAGGCACTCACCAGACTTTCCCTCCAAAGAAAACCTGCACAGATAGAGGTGTTCAGAGCTGGGCCTCACACAGGCAGGGAGCAGCCCAGAGTTTAGTATGTCTCCTCTTTGTTTCTTTCCTTTTTTTCCCCTTCTTTTCTTTCTCTCTTTTTTTGGCAGCAGGAAGATTGTTTAAAGTTGCTAATAAATTCCAGTTAATGAAGCCTGAAAAGCCAGAGCTGGGAGCCAAGAGAAACAAGAGCAATCAGTACAGAAGGAATAGAAAGAGATCTTGAAAGCCGGCCTGGGAATAATAACATGTTGAAATGTGTTTGCCGGCGAGGGCTTTGTTACCGCGCTTTGAATCCAAGCACGAGCGCTCGGTGCCAAGAAGAGAAACTGCAGCCAAAGGCAGGTGTTCATTGCCATTCACCTCTTGCTTCGGGGCACAGCGGCAAGATCAGACCCCTTCCCAGCCACTGGCTCTTTCACCTGCCTCTTCTCGGGCCCCAAGGGCAGAGGGACTCACCGTCATGGGGAGCACAGTGCAGCAGGCTCAGCACCACGCGCTCAGGACCCGCCGTCACCTTCTCTGCCAGCCTGGGGGACAATGAAATGGCACGAAAGCAAAATGAAATAAAATGCAGGCATGGGGGCAGGGAACGTGAATGCAGCACCTTCTTCTCCTGCCTTGCACCTGTG